CGTGACCTCATCAACTTAGCCAAGAAGAGGACCAACATCATCCCTGTCATTGAAGACGCTCGGCACCCACACAAATACCGCATGCTTATTGCAATGGTGGTTGTCATCTTTGCCGACGTAGCCCAGCCAGACCAAACCCGGATTGTGGCCCTGAATGCCCACACCTTCCTGCTGAATGGAGGACACTTTGTGATTTCTATTAAGGCCAACTGCATTGACTCCACAGCCTCAGCAGAAGCTGTGTTTGCATCCGAAGTGAAGAAGATGCAGCAGGAGAACATGAAGCCCCAGGAGCAGCTGACACGGGAGCCTTATGAGCGAGACCACGCCGTGGTCGTAGGTGTGTACAGGCCCCCTCCCAAGGCGAAGAACTGAAACCCAGAGCTGGCTGGAGTGAAGAAATGTGTGTTGCTACCGTTGCACGTGTGGCTTTTGATTTTTTTTGCGGGGGGGAGTTGTTTTTTTTTTTTATTAAAAAACTCACCCGTCAAAAAAAAAAAAAAAAAAAAAAAAGAATGGAAACATCCAGGCAGGGCTCTTCTCATGGACATATCAAAAGTCTAATCACTGTGGTTAGACCGTGACTGGGGAGCAGCTGTGGAAGATTTTCAAGAATGGGGTAAGTGAGCACAGAGAATGTGAAGACCCTGGGTACTCCAGGGGAGAGAGAGATACAATTACACATTCAGGGATCACATACCCAGTTATAGAAAACATCACCTGTGTTATCCATGTACAGAAGGCAAACAATGAGAACCACATGTAGATCCTGCAGCAACCAAATGAAAAGTTTTCCCTGGAGACTCGAAAACTCGAGGGCAGGTATGAAAATATAAACACATCCAGGAATGAAGATGATGGCCAAATGGTTCTTCCTCCACAGCTGAAAAAAATGTCCAAAAGTTACTTCTAGTGAGTGCCCACTCTAGAGTACACAGCCCAAAATTCATTCTCAAGAGATGACATTTTAACGTGACTGTGTCTTCTCCATTTCCCAGTCTCATGGTAGCATCATGAAAAAATGATGAGACACTGCAGATATGCCACTGTCCAGTGATGTCCTCCCAGACCACAACCTTGCTAAACACACAAGCAGAGTCCAAAAGCTCCAAAATCCTTCAGTAGGCTTCTTACCTCCTTAGTGCAAATGGGGTGTCCACGAACTGTTTTGAAAACTTACTTAACAGTCAAAGGATCAAGATTGTCTCATTACAATGTGATAAAAGTTGCCTTGAACCTGCTCATCAGGGACCAGCAGGAACTCACTGTTTCTATGACTGACAGAGCTCTAGCCTCTACCAGGATTGGATTATTAGGGCCCAGAGATGTCGTTGCCATCCAATGAGGTTCTATTTCCTGGGATATGGATTTTCAGAGCTGGTTGGAAAGTTTATTCATGTTGATAAATGTTGGCATGAACTGAGTGGATCACATGGCATTGTGATACCAAAGGGAGGGCTCAAAATGGAGGTATAGAATGGTCTAAAATAACAGTATCCATTGAGCATCCGAACTCATCCACCAACCCGTAGATTGACATTTATACCACACTGGACTGCCCCTATGACTAGAACAAACGTGATCCAAGTTTTAAAGCTGAGAGAGTGTAGTGAGGAGCACGCCAGCTAATTGTCAAGTTCTTATTCGATGCTGTCTTCCATAGTAGAGCAGTGTACGGCAAAAGCATGACCACTGACTTCAGACTGTGTGTGCCTGTCCTGCCTCCTGCCGCTCAGGTACCTTGAACTCAGGAAAACCGCACAACGGACTCAGATTCTATGTGGGACGTATGCCAGCTGATCCCTCATTGCATCATCCACATTCTGTAATGTCCCAGGTTGTTGGGGAAGGCTAG